CAGCCAGGACTGGCTGGACAGGGAGTGGCTGTGTGCTGACCCTCCTGGTCACAGGAACTCTGTGTGGGACAGCTGGCCAGGAGCTCAGCCCCACCATTCCAGACTGCCTCTGGAAGGGGTTCCTGCCTGGTTTCACATCCTCTGGTACCCCCCTGAGGCCTGCTGGAGACCAGGATGCTGGCTGCTTGTGCCTGGCACCAGAGTCAATGTGGCTGCAAAAGTGGGAAGGAAAACACTGGGGTAGGATGCCCAATGCCCTCAAAAATTGGGAGGCAGAAATCTTACACACAAAAGAGCAAAATTATTTTAACTTCTCGCTATTTGTCAGTTCGCTGGCTGTCCAAGGAGGAGAACAGCACCTGCAGGATCTGTACCTCCTGGTGCAACACACAGATCCCAGCGTGCTGCCTGCCAGGGAAACACCCAGCAGCGATGTCCTTGTGCTGTGGGTCAGGCTAGGATTTGAATGGCAAAGCCCAGGGCTTTGCTTTGCCTGCAGAGGGGTAAAACAATATTTAAATAACTGCCAGCCACTGGAAGGAGCAGAAGTCCCAGGGGAAAAGAGAGAATTTGTGGCAGTGCATGGCTGACAGCTTCATCTGGAATGTACAGCCTGCAAAGGGAGCCAGCCAAGCTGCTGGGAGCTGCCTCTGATTTAGTATTTCATAACTTTGGTGGTTGACTCCAAGCATTTGGCTGTTAATTATCCTTAGGTGCTTAGAGGAAAACATCCCAGCAATTCCACCCATCAATCTTATTGATTCTCACCTTGAATCTTTGGGAGCTTTTAGGGCACCTGCACAAGCTGCCAGTGCTTGAATCAATTGAGCTCTGTGGAGCAGCCTCTGGCTGTGCCTCCCTGCACATCAGGCACAAGGCAGAAAGATGTATGATCCTGGCCAGTGCTGGTGCAAGGAGCTGATGGCAGGGAAACTCAAATTCCTGGGAATCACAGCACCTTGCCAGCGTGCTCTGTTTCCCCCTGGGAATGTCACATCCTTGTGTGGGCTGAGTCAGGGACCTCTGGCACTGCTGTGGGACCTGGGAAGGATGCTGGACATCTCATCTGAAGCATGTGGAGCTTAAGGAGTCTTGAATAAGGATAGTAGAGCTCTTATATCTCATTTCTCTTTGTAGAAGTGTCTGAAATATTTCTGCTGAAATTTCTGATGGCAGAGGGGTGGCATAGAGGGTAAATATCCTTCAGAGAAAATATCAGGTTCAGTGGTCAACTTATGTCATGTTTTCACAAGCTCCTGGAAATGGAAATGGTTTAGGGGACATAAGAAACCCTGGGTTAATATATCTCCAGTAAAATATACAAGGTGAGAAATTGTGTTCTAGAGGAGGTATTGCTTTCCAAAGCCCATGCCATCAATAACTAGGAAATGGGGGAATTTTTCTCAAGCAGTCAAGATTATTTACTGGCTTTGGGAGAGTCCTACAAGAACTGTGGCTTTTGGAGGGAAAAGTTGTGATGATAAAAGCAGTTATGTATCATTAGATACCCCTCCCTCCAACCCAACTTATTAAAAACACTCAAAAGCTGCATAGCAGGCTTCAGACTTTAATTACAGGATATTTGCTCACATTTCAATCTAACTTCCTAGCACCAGGAAAATCCATGGGGTGCACTCTCCGGCATGAACACATCTGCAGCACCATTTCCCATGGGCGAGAGCAGCAAGGGGCTGGCAGCTTTGGGAGCTGCTTCCTATCCCATGCATGGCACAAGTGCCCTGAGAGCACAGTGCCTTTGGCAGGGCTGCAGCACCAAACCACTGAGCCCCAGCCCCTGGGCTGGGGAGCCCTGCTAAGTGAAAGCACTTTTTAATGGGGATGTAATGGAACTCGTTAGTGTCTGCTGTTTTATTACTCAGGTTGGAAATTACTTATTGGTGGGAATGCGCTCACTCCTCACGCTGATCCTTCATATGCTCTGCTGGAAGGGTCCAAGTGAATTAATCTCAGAGCCAGGGAGTGTCTTCCATCTCTCTGGCTGCAGATAGGAAAAGCCTATGGGACTATCTGGGAGCACTCAGTGTGTTCTCATCCCTGTGGCCTGGCAGAAGAAGTGGAGAAGCTGAGATAGCTGCTCTGGCCATGCATTGTGCTTGAGTGCATGGTCCCTCTCTCCAGAGCAGGGCTGGGAGCTCTGGGGTTAAAAACATGGGGCAAGGAGAGGCTAAAATCTGGGTTAAATAAGGGGATGTTGGAGTTGTCTCTGGCAGAAACCTGCAGGAATGGGCACTTTCTTCTGGTTCTGAGCTAAAGCAGGTTGAAATGTGGATATTTTGAGTAGTAGAATAAAAGGTTTGGGTGTTTAATTTAAAAAGTACTCGAGTTCTTTGTGATGGCTTCTATGTGCCACTGAGAGGTGTCTGCTGGTTGGAGGCACTTGCCATGGCAGGGTCACAGGGATTTGCTGGCAGCCTGCCCTCAGCCCCACTCACCAGTGGCACAGCAAATTGGGACTGGAATTTGGGCTTCCACTGTTTTGTGGGAAAGAATCTCACCCAGACTGAAAAGGTTGGGTCAGATTATCCTGATGCAGAACTTCATGGCAAGCTGAGTATTTTTCAATGGGAAACTGTCAGATTTTCTGAAATTAAAAATTCCCATTTCAGTTTGAGGGTTGTAACTGTTGGCCCAGAGTCCTGAGAATGGTTCTGCACCATCACACCACCCTCTTCTCAGAGTGAAGATCTTTCTCTTCCAGGAATGAGCTCTGGGTGTCCTTTGAAATGCTTTTGCCTGTGGGCACCAGCAATTGGATGGTCAGGCTTCATTTGCAAGTGCATTGGGAGCAGGACACCCGCCAGGGGCAGTTGGGTTTGCTGGAGGGCAACATTGCAGGGCTGCTGCAGGAAAGTCAGCCCAACCTTGTGTGCCTTGTCCCTGACAATGTTTCTGCCTGGCAGGGTTCACGGAGCAATAACAACCACATAAATAAGTCAAAGCATATGACTCAGGATAGGAAGCTTGGACTTTCCTGGAAAAATCCTCTTTTGCACAGCGTTAAAGATGCCTGAGCCTTAATATTCTGCCATCCACGTGTAAAGTTTGGGCATCTCACCAGGGAACAGCGTGACCAGCACTGGCAGCAAGCAAACTGGTCTGGAAGTGCTGGGGAAAGAAAATTCCCTTGGGAAGCACACTTCAGATCAGAGCTGACTGCGAGGTGTGCACAGCCCCTGGATGCAGGGAGAGGAGGTGTGACCAGGAGTGCTGCAGACACTGATCTGCATTCAGGACTAGACTGGAGCAAAGGTGAAACTGCAGGAAACACTTTTAACGGTGCCCTCGTGGCCACAGCGCTGGACAAAATTAGGCAAGTGGAACCTGAGAAAGGGGTTGAGCTACCAGCCAAACAGGATGGTGAAGTTAAGGAGCATATCAGTCACATTGGCTGCTTTGTGCTCCTCGCCATGCACAGGCCTTGCTCCAGGCCACTGAACTAAAGCTGTTCCCAAAGGGAAGGCTGGGCCCCTGGTGAGCTTGCCAGACCAGCAGAAATGAAGCTGGGGATATTCCAGCCAAGCAAGGCCCAGAGAGGCTCAGAGACATTAATGGCCACCATCAAAGCATCTTTAAACCTCCAGGCCAGCACCAAAGCAGCCGGCTGTCTGTGATAAATATGCAAGCCACGCTTCAGTCGGGGAGAAATAAATAAGCTGTTGTACAGGGAGCAAGGGAGGTGGGGAGCTCCTGCCCAAATCCCTGCTCAGCAGAGGGGTTTCCCTGGAGACTGCTTCCTCAGAGCCTGCGCAGGGCCAGCACAGGGAGTGCTCCGTGTGGTCTGGGCAGGCACAGGGACACAGCTGGCGTGAAGGATGAGGCAAGCAGGACTGGGGGTGCCAGTCAGGTGCTTTTGTTGAATTTGGGGAAAGCAGAGATGGATTACTTGCCAGCGGATTGTGCTGCACAAATGTGGAGACTCCTCGGCTGCTTCTCAGCAAGCCCCTGGAGGGAGGAGCAGAATATCCAAGTGCTGTGGACGCCGGGCAGAGTGGGGTAAGATGGGTCCAGCAGAGGTGAGAAGCACATGGAGCTTGCTGGACATGGCCAGCGTGCAGGTGGTGCCCAGCCAGCTTCCCTTCCCATGAAGGATGGGTGTGTGAGAGCTGACCTGCCACGGTGATGTTCCCTACAGCTGATGCAAGAAGCTTGCAAGGACACTTCCCTCTCTCCCCCCTTGCTCGTGCACTTATTCTCTAACTCTGGAAACCTGCTGGGGTTTGGCCTGGCCGGGCACTGCATGAGGGTGAGACTCACCCAGCTGCTGCCTGGCAGCTCTGGAGCCACTTTGGCTCTTGGCCACCGCGGGCTCGCTCCTGCTCACGTGGCAGCAGAGCCCAAAGGGACTGAGCTGGAACGCTGCACCCTGGCTGGGGGACAGGTGAGGGACACCACTGGCCTGCAGGTCCCCTGGCTGCAGCCACCTTCCTCACCCAGCTGTGCTCCCCATGCCAGGAGCTGGTCCTAGAGAGGGTGCAGGTGGGAGACTGGCTGCGAGCTGTGCAGCTCCCAAGTCACAAAGGGACCCACCAGCACGTCAGGGACTGGGCACAGGAGCACAGGATGTGGCTTGGGTTACTGCAGCTCGGGTATTGAGCCAGCCAGGCCAGCAGACCTCTCTTTTGGAGTTATATTTAAACTTCCTTATGGAATTTTACTGGCCAAATTCTTGAGTGTTTTGGGATAACTGTTGCTGATCCCTGAGGCTGTGGTACAGCAGGGTATTCTCTGAGCCAAGAGGTTGGGTACCAGGGCACACAGAGAGCTGAGATGGTCTCAGTGGAGCATCCCTGATAGCCTGGCACTCCCTCTGTGGATCCGCCAGAGCCCTGATGCTGTTGCCTTTCCAAATGTTGTGCTGAGCTCATGTTTGTTTCTCACATTCTTCTTTCCTTCCAACAGTGAAATCAGCTTTTCATCCTTCTCCATGCATCAGCAGCTGGCAGCTACATCTTCAGTGCCTTGTCATGCCGACGGGATGTGTCCTGCAGGGATTGCATGGATGTGTCCCTGGGGCTGCAGGACATGCTGGGACTTCCAGATGAACCTTTCCGAGCAGAAGCAGAGTGGTGTGCTCACTGTGATGAGGGAAGAGGCTGGGAGAGGCTTGCACTGAATAAAAAAAGCATCAAGTAAGGGCTCCTGTGAATTAGGCAGGTTGTGCTAAATGGTATCAGCAATGCAAGTTGCCTTTTAAAGTGGATAATTCCTGTGCACATACACACACTGTCTGCAGTCGTCGTCTTGCTGGCTGCAAGAATTGAGGACAAATACCAGGAATATTAATGACGGCGATGAGCAAGTGACATTCTATCGGCTAGAGATCAATTAAATATTTTAGCCTACTCAAACAAAGGTTTTGCTGGACGCAGGAGATGAGAGGCGGTCTCTCCCTCACCAATGTGTATAAATATCTAAAGGGGGGAGCCGAGCACATGGAGCAGAGTGTTGAGCAATAGGGCACAGGGAATGGGCAAAAATTAATGCACAGGAAGTTCCACCTGAATATAAGGAAGAACTTCTTTACTGTGCAGTGACCCACACTGGGACAGAGAGTAGAGAGGCTGGGGGTCTGCCTCACCGGAGGCATCCAAGAGCGGTCTGGCTGCGGTCTGTGCCATGTGCTCCGGGACGATGCTGTTTACACCGAGGTGGGACCAGCTGGCCCAGCCCGGCCGCTCCTGTGGCTCCCCGATTCCCCGGGACACGCACCGAGTCCCTTCCTGCACTTTCCAGACACGTTATCCGCAGGCGTGGGTGACCGAGCACATCCCTATCACCCCTCGGCTCCTGCCTGACTCCGGCCGGGGAGATTATGGAAGCCGGCTCGGGGACTCCGGGGCTCCAGCGGCGCGCTCGTTCCGGACTCCCCGAGCCGGAAGCAGCACCCTGGCCCGAGCCCGGCCTCTCGCAGCCTCTCGCAGCCGGGCAGCGAGGCCGGGCTGTCCGGCAGGGTCCGGAGCCCTTTAAACCCCCCCCGTTCCCGCCCCCCGGCTCGGCCGGGCGTTGCATCAGGCCCGTGCGCGCCGCCGGCCGCCCCGCGGGGGCGCGCGCCCCCGCGGCAGTCGCGTGGTCCCCGCGCGGCTCCATATTGCGGCGGCACCGGGGTCGGGGGGTTCCCGGCGGGGCTCGGGGGCGCGCAGATGGCGACGCAGGTGGAGGCGCTGCTGCCCGGCACGGCCCCGCTGCTGCCCGCCGAGGAGCGCGCCCTGGTGCTGAAGCCGCCGCAGGACGGCGGCCGGGAGAAGGGCGAGCCGCCCATGGGCCCCGACGGCGGGCCGGCGGCGCCGAGGCCGCCGAGCGCTAAGCAGCAGAAGGAGGAGAGCAACAACCAGGAGAAGGAGAGCCTGCTGAGGGCCGGCGGCGAGGCGGAGGACGGCGGCGAGGCGGGCGGCGCGGGGCGCCGGGAGTTCATCGAGGCCCCGCCGCCCAAGGTGAACCCCTGGACGAAGAACGCGCCGGCCGTGAACGGGCAGTCGCCTCCCGGTGGGTGCTCGGGGGTCTCTGGGAGCGGGGCGGGGGGGGCCCGGGTGCGCCGCCGACCGCGCCCCGGGCGGCCGCGCCAACCCCCCCCGTTCCCGCCCCCCGGCTCGGCCGGGCGTTGCATCAGGCCCGTGCGCGCCGCCGGCCGCCCCGCGGGGGCGCGCCCC